CAGTGCTCTTACCCACTGAGCCACCTTTCCAGCCCCAACACTAATTTATTTAAAGAAAGAAAATGGTTCAAAACCAATCATAGAGCCTGGTAATGGTGGCTCACACCTTTAATCTTAGCACTTGGGAGGCAGAGGCAGGCATATCTTTCTGAGTTTTAGAACAGCCTAGCAAGTTCTAGGATAGCCAGGGCTACATAGATCCTGTCTCAAAACAAACAAAAAGGTGGGAAATCCGTAGGAGAAGGCCACAAGGTAGCTGAGGAGTTAGTGGAGGATTGATAGCTCCAAGACCTCTTGGCCTTCCTCACGCCATGTGGAGCCAGACCTGAACTGCCTCAGGCTCAGCCAAGGCCACTTGCTAGCAGGGTCTTACTGGATAAATTAACCTAGTGTCTCTGAGCATTTTCCTCCTAAGGGCAGTATGAGAAGATATGCAGGTATATACAGAGCTTAGCACATGGGTAGCAATTGTCATGAATGACCTGTTCCTGACACTTTTTTTCTTAGGTCAGTGGCCTCAGAGTGAGGAAAGAGCCTAGGTCAGAGACAGACAAGACTGGGGCCTTTGGCATTCAGCAGTGTGTACTTGCCACCATAGCTAATTCCTCAGTGTAGGCTTGACCCTGCCCCTGGCTGCTTGGAGAAGTAATTAAGATAAAATGAAAAAATAAAGACTAGAAGGAGCTAAGTGGACAACTCTGTGCTGTACCTTGTTGGTCCTACAATTCTCTTTTTCACTGACCCTGAAGGCCCAAATCCATTCTCCTTTTCTCCCAAGGCCTTGTCTGACTTTGCCCAGACTGAACAGTAAGCCACTTTATAGATGCTTGGGTAACATGAACTGCAGGTACCTCATCCAGGCACCTCTCTCTTTGTGAGGGAAATGGAGGCCTACTTGTATTCTGAGGGCCTGAGTGCAAAACTGCTATCTTCTATTTTCTTTGAAACAGATTCCCACTATATAGTCCAAACTGCCCTGGAATGGTAAGACATTCTTGTCTCCTGTCTGGCCCCTGTGATTACCATGTCCTTACCATATCCAGTTCTTTTCTTTTTTGGTTTGTTTTTCCAGAAAGGGATTCTCTGTGTGTAGCCTTGGGTATCCTGGTGTAGACCAGGTTGGCCTTGAATTCACAGAGATCCACCTGCCTCTGCTTCCCAGAGTGCTAGGATTACAGGCATGTGTCACCACATCTGGCTCCATGTCCCATCCTTTTAATCACTTCACTAAATATCAGGTGAAGCCAGTAACCAACAGATGCAGATAGAACATTCCAGAAAAATGTTAGACATGGTGGCGCATGCCTGTAATCTCAGCACTTGGGAGGCTGAGGCAGCCAGACCTCTTTGAGTTCCAGCTGGTCTAAAAAGTGAGATTCAGGCCAGCCAGGGTTGCAGAATGAGTTCTTTAAGAAAAAGGTCCCAGAAAAGGACATGGACAGTATCATTTCTGCTGTGTCCTCCCAGCAGCCTTATTCCTGTCCCACAATGCAGTTGCCCAGTTGTGGTATTCCTCTGTCCTGTTCCCCCTTTCAAGGACCCCTCCTTTTCTTTTCATGGAGAAAGCTATGGTCTTCAGTTCCTGTTTGAGCCACTTTCCTGACATCTCCCCCACCCTCCTTTACTTCTCAAAGACCAACAACGGCTCTAATTCTGGCTCTCCATCCTTTCCCTTCCCCTCCTGGCCTCTGCACACCTGTCATCTCCATGACTACAGCCTTTGTCCTCTCCCAGGACTATGCTCCTGTTGCTGCTGTCTTACTCCCACTGGCTAAGGGCAGGCATGATGCATGGCTGTCCACCAGCTTCTCTATGCTTCCCACTTTCCCAGTGACCTCAGCTGTAACCATTTCCAAAGAGTGTCAACAAGCTGGTGACAACAGTTTCTCATCTGGAACCTGCTGCTTCCTCATGTGTTCTAGGCAGGTGACTCTCTAGGAATGTCCCACTGGCACTTTCTATCCTGTCCACCTCTGCCCGTTTAGTTTCTCAGCTTTGGCCTTTTTAGGTCAGAAAGGTTGACCCCAATTCCCCAGTACCCATCTAAGTCACATCATCATTACACAATGGTTCTTTACCTTTGCATCCCTCCTTATGCCATCATGTCCTAACCTATTTGGGCCATTGTCCCTCTCATCAACCTTTTCAGGCCTGTCTTTCCCAGTCTCACTATGATATAGTCCAAGCTGGCATCAAACAATCTACTGCCTTGGCCTCCTCACTGCTGGTATTATTGGCATGCACCATCATACCTGGCCTTGTGCTGTTTTCTTCTAAGAAAATGTATCCCTTACCCCTTCTTGGTCTCTTCCAGCCCAGGCTTTGAACTCAAACTGGCTACATGGCTTCATTATGCCGAGTACTCTAACTTCTAAGTGGACTTGGCAGGTCTGAAAGACAACCTCAACTCCCAATAAACCAAACCTCTCTAGTTTCTTTTATGCAGAACAAAGTGAAACCATCTTGTCTGACAGGAAAGGAGTTCTACAATCTGGCCCCATTTCACTTTCTAACTTGAACCCTTTCTATATCCTACTTCACTTGCATCTAAATCTCCTTCTACACAATCCCTACCCAAACCCTTTTAAACTTCCGGCTTCCATGTCTTCTCCCAGCATGCCTTTCCCATCTCTTCCAAAGTGATGTTTGACTGTTGCCTCATTTCTTAGAGCCTGAAGCCCTTCCCTCTGTGAGAAAATATTATTTGTGTGCCCTCATTACACAGTGCTTCCCAACAGCTTATAATATGGCCAGGAGATTATCCTCCACTCCCTCCCATCTCTCAAGATTGTGAACTCACAGGTGCTAAGGACTAGATTTTTTTTTTATAACTACCCTTAAGACCTCAGTATCTAAACAACTGTGCCCATTTTTTTTTTTTGTTAGTTTACTGTTATCACCTGCTTTGCAATCTTCTTTGTAAGTCTGTTTCCTTGCAGATCTTGCCAATCCTGCTATACCGCTTGGCATCAACCAGTAAACTTTGCAGGCAAAACAAAATAGAGTCTCAATATCAGCTTCTTTTTTTTTTTTTTTTTGGTAAATAAAGTTATGAAGTCCAATTGACCTCAAACTTGAGGCAACCCTCTTTCCTTACCTCCTGAGCTCAGAGATCACAGGCATAGGCCACCATACCTGCAACAATGTGTTGTACTGGGATGAATGCCTATCCAAACATTCAGTGTAGACAGCCACCTACTACTTTTAAACCAAGATTTCCCTATCACCTTTTCCTTACAATTTTGTCTGTTCAGGTTACTGCTTATGCACGAGGCACATATTTTATCCAGCAAGGACCTAACAAATATCCAACAGGTAGGCCTTTGAGATGGCTTAGACAGTGAGGGTAGGGTGCTTACTGCTGAGCCTGAGAGTTCGATCCCTGGGACCCACAAGATGGAAGGACAAAACTGACTCTGCCAAGTTATTCTCTGACTGCCATATGAAGAGCACGCTCACGAACGATGCACACGCACACACACACACATACACGCACCAATCCCTGGAAGGACACCTGTCCAAGTTCCTGAACTAGCACAGGTGACTCCTGCAATGCCCTACAGGCCCTTATTTCATCAGATTTCTTAGCAGCTCCTCAGCAACCAGTAGTAATTAGATGGAATTCTGACAGTCTGCACCCCACCATGCTCCCTATTTATAAAGTGAATTATCTCATGGAGGGGAGGCACCTTGAGCAAGTTACCAGAGTAGTCCTGGTAAATACAGAGTGCAACTCTCTCCTAGAGGAGGCAAACAGGTCAAAGATCAACTGGCAGAGTCAGCAGAGAAGAAAGTTCAGGAATCCAGCTGCCTCTTAGGTCAGCACTCCTCTTTCTCCATTTCCAGATGTGGGCAGGGAAGGTGAGCAGCAGGTGGCTGCTCTTCATTTCATTTCAATAAGTATTTATGGAGTCCCAGGGCTTTCCAATTTCTAGCTATGTCAGGATAAGTCCCTTACTGTCTCATCTACAGAAGATATAATGGTGGTTGCTGTCTTCCTGACAGTACAGGATCAGGTAACAAAACCGATGAGAAAGTACTTTCTACACTGAAAAGCTCTATGGGTATTCTTGTTATATACCTTATCTGCTCCAACTCCTTAAACTTCCAGATGAGGAAATGTCACAAGGGAACGGTCATGATGAGACGTGGGTCTCTTAATTCTCAAAGTCTGTTACGCGGAACAAAGTTTACTAGCCCACAGGCACAAATCCTGTGTCTTTCTCCTTTCCGGATGATATCGAAATTTTCTTTGGGAACTTAGGTTACAAACGCAAAATGAAGGGTAAAGCGCGGGGACGGGTAGCAGAGACAAGTCATGGGAGATCTTAGCCCTAGTCTACTCAGCTACCTGGTACTCAGCAACCGTACCAGGCCATAACACCCGCCACCTAGGCCTGCTTGTGGGCGAAGGTGGGATAAGGTGGCCGAAACTGAGTTCTGCAACAATCATATCCACCCCGAAACTCGGCGTTCAAGAGACTGCAGGAAGGACTGTGAGTTGGAGTGGCTTATGTCTCAAAGGGTTCTCTGATTCGAGCAAATGAAGATCTGAGGTGCCTTTCTAGGAATTCCTTCCCTCTCTAGAACCCATTCTCTCTTAGAATAGTTATGTTTATTTTCCTGAACTATAATATTTCCCAGGCCGGCCACTGGCCCTGGGCCACCGAACAGCCCTTTGGGAAACGTAGTTCGCTTTTGCTTCCACTTGAGTTCTCTTCGCCTGGTCTCCCAGCGCGTCTCCTTCCCAGAAACTTCATATTTTAGAAGGTTCCACAAGCACTGGAAAGGGTTGAGAGCCAGGCCTTCGAGAGTCTTCGGGGGTCCAGCAACCCACAAAATGCGAGACACCGGGACTACGTATCCCAGCAGCGCCCGGGCGCACCAATGCGCAGGCGTAGCCGCGCCTCGCCACCCCTCCCCCTCCGCCAACTGCTCCCGTCGGTCCGTTCCCGTGTTCCCCCCATCCGTGCTAATGCCCCCTTGGTGCCTCCACTCACCGCTGACTCGTGGCGTCGGGTACAGCCGCTGCGCCTTCTCCAGAAAGCGTAGCGCCCGCTCGGGCTGGTTGCTTTGGATGGCCTTGAGAGCGATGCTGATACAGCGCTCGGCTTCATCCTTGTTGGATTCCATGGCGGAACCCGAGCGCGGAACCAAGGAGGGGGAGGCCGGGCGAGCGAAGGGCTGCGCCAGCCGGCGTCGCGTCGCGGGGCAGACCGGCGCGGAAAGATGACATAACTCTCCGCCCCTCCTTCCCGATTTGAGCGAGGGTTGAACCCGGCGGAAGCCCTACCGTATGTCTCCTAAAAGGGGGACGTTCGGTAAGGAGGCGCTAGAACGCGCGGGAACTCTAGAGCGCAAATACTGTAGTTGAGAGTGCGTGCACGTTCTTGGAGGTAGCTTTTGCGTTCCAGTCAGACTGTTAATTGTACAGATGTTTACCGAATACGCACTTTTGTCAGACGCTGCTGTTTGATGTGGCAGTGGTGTCAAAACAAAACCCTGTCCTTACAGAGCTTTTCTGGGTGGGGAGAAGTCCAGTAAACGGAAACATTCAGGTAAGTTAAGGCAAAAAGCGAAAAGTAGGGCATGGAGGGGAAGGGTTACTATTTAAGTTAGCTTACTATATCAGAAGCATCTGAATTCTGGAGAAACAAGAACATGGGACTCTCTGGAGGAAGAGTGGTTCAAGTGGAATAAACAATATAAAGGCTCGAAATGGTGATTTTCGCGTCGAGTTATTGGGGGATTTACGGAGAGTTAAGAGTCCCAACAGAGTGAGGCCAATCAGGATGCAGCTTAGGGCTGCACCTCCCACTTCAGTGACAGCAACTTCGTGAAAGTTGCCAATGACTTCCACTTGGCCAAATCCACCGGCAATTTTTTTCGCTCTTGCCTTATGGTCTTTCACAAGAAACTACAACAGTAAGCCCAAATGAAAGTTAAAGAACGCTATGCGGTGGTGGCACACACCCTTAATCTAAGAACTTGGGAGGCAGAGGCAGACAGATCTCTGTGAGTTCGAGGTCAGCCTGGTCTGCAGAGTGAGTTTCAGGACAGCCAGGGTTGCAGAATGAGACCTTTTTTAAAAAAGAAACTCCTCCACCAAAACAAGACAAAAGCAAACAAAGAAACACTAAAACCAAGAAACTGTCCGGGCAGGTGGGAACACACTTTTGATCCCAGCACTTGGGAGGCAGAGAGGGGTTCTCTGTGAGCTCAAGGCCAGCTTGGTCTACAAATGGAGTCCAGGACAGCCAGGGCTCCGTTACACAGAGAAACCCTATCTCAAAAAACCAAACCCAAACTAAAACAAGCCCCAAAAGATGGAGCTGGAAACCTAATTTTGGAAATTATTAATGGACATGAGTGCTTTTTGCTTTGCTTTGTTTTGTTTTTCAAGACAGGGATTCTACTGTCCTGGAACTCATTCTGTAGATCAGGCTGGCCTTGAACTCACAGAGATTCGCCTACCTCTGTTGGGATTAAAGGCTCGGGCCACCACCACTCTGTGACGTGATTGCTTTTTAAAGCAAGCTATGGGACTAGCTACAGCAAATGTAAGTGCCAAGCAGAGAGGACTGGATTACAGAGCCCTCCATTGCTCCGTATTTAGAAGGCTGCAGGAAAAGGAGACTCTGAAGTGTGTTGTAAGGTAAGAAAATGAGTTAGTTGGGGGCCAAGTGAAGTGGATGTTTCTAAGGGAGGAAGGAAGGGTTTAAACTTTGAGACATATGTTGAGAAATGATGGCCTTATGGAAGGCTATGATCACTGTGATGCAATTGTTTCAAGTGTGTTCCCAAAAGGTTCTGTGTGGTCTTTTTTGTTTGTTTTTCGAGACAGGGTTTCTCTGTGTAGTCTTGGTTGTCCTGGAACCCACTCTTGTAGACTAGGCTGGTCTCGAACTTATAGAGATCTGCCTGCCTCTGTGGTCTTAAGATAGCATTTTGTAATAGAAATTTTGATGATGCAAATAAGAGAGGGAACAATTAGACATAAGATTTGGGATCTGGGGACACAGGGACAGTTGGCCTTGGACAGGCACATGGACTCATTACTTTTAGGAGAGGCAGCCTAGCATGTATGGAGGCAGAGGCACTGGGAACCTTCAGTTATTTTCTCATTTCTCTAAGGAGCAAGGCTGCGTGTCCCTGTGTCCCTGTGTCCCTGTGCTCCTCCTCTGCATGCACACTCTCAGTAATGAAGAAATCATGTCCCTTTCACAAGACATCCCTCTGTTTGACTAGATTAGTAAGTTCCTAATGTGTTAATGGTTAAATGTTGTGTTGCAAGATATTTAATCCCATTGTGAACCCTGAGATTGTGAACTGTAAAAACCTGTCTTTTGTTTGGTGTGGTTCAGCCATAACACACAGCTTTAAGCCAAGAACTTTCTGTTTATTGAAAACAGGTGATTATGGTGTGGCTCAGCCCTAGCATACACCTTTAATCCAAGAGCTTTTCTGTACACAGGATTTAATAAAGTTAACCCTAGGTCAAGAGGCAGAGCAAGTTAACCAGCTGACAGGGACTAACAGAAAAGGGGGACTTTGAGTTAAGGGTATTTAAGAGAGCGTGGAGAAGAACAGGGGACTTTTTGGTTCTTTAGCTCTTTGGCTTTAAGATTTGGCATTCTCCTCCTGGGCTAGCAGGTCTTTTCCTCCTGGTGAGCTGCGTAGGAAGGCCAGTTGAGTGCTTTCTATGCCTCTCTGAGCTAACAAGTTTCCACCCTAATATCTGGCTTGAGTCTTCATTGGTAAAATTGAATGATCTGGGATTTTCATTCTTTATAACAATATTGGACAAGAGAGCTTTCAAAAGGCCCTCCCTAAGGATTGTTGACCTAGAACTATAATGCCCATCTTTCATCTCCTTCTAAGTGTCTGAGTTCTCTTTCATTTTCTGAGAGTCAGGAGTCCCCTCTTTTGGTGACCATGGGTGCTTCCATGAAAAGGGTACTTAATGGGGTTGGGGCTGTTTTATCAGTGTGCTAATGACCTGGATTGTGGTTGTTCTGTTAGCACCTGGCAAGCCCTCCCACTTCTCCTGCATATAAAATGGCAAAGTCTCTCTCTTGCTCTTTCTTTTGGTTTTTCAAGATAGGGTTTCTCTGTGTAGTCTTGGCTGTCTTGAACTTGCTTTGTAGACTACGCTGACCTGGAACTCATAGAGATCTGCTTGCGCTACCTCCCTGAGTGCTGGGATTAAAGTTGTGTGCCACTGTACCTGGCTTGGCAAAGTCTTATTTAAAATTTTAATTAAGAGTCTGTCTGGCTCCTTGAGAAGTTGGCAGGTGTCTTAGTCATTGTTGCATTGTTCTGAAGAGACACAGTGGCACAAGCCTGTAATCCCAGCACTCAGGAAGGCAGATCTCTGTGAGATCGAGGCCAGGCAGTCTATAGAGCGAGTCCAGGACAACCAAGACTACATAGACAAATCCTGTTTCAAAAAAACCTTAGAAAGGAAGTCAGGTGTGGTGGCGTATGCCTATAATCCTAGCATTCTGGGAGGCAGAGGCAGGCCTTGAACTCTTTGAGTTTGAGGTCATCCTGGTCTACAAAGAAAGCCCACTGAAAAACCCTGTCTTAAAAACAAAACAAAAAACAAAGAAATAAAGAAACAAAGAAAGTTTAATTGGGGCTTGCTTACAGTTTCAGGGGCTGAGTCAATTATCATCATGCAGGGATCATGGCATGGTGACAGTCAAGGCAGATTGAGTGCTGAAGGTAGTTGAGAACTACATCCTGACCCTTAAGGAGAAAGAAAGGGTGTGGGGCTGGCATAGGTTTTTGCAGTCTCAAAGCCCACCTCCAGTAACACACTGCCCCCAATAAGGCCACACCTCCTAAGCCTTCTCAAATAGTGCTCCTCCCTGATTACTAAGCATTCACACATATTTGAGCCAGTGGGGGCTATTCTTATCAAATCACAGCAGGTCCTAATCAGTAAGGATGTGGAGAGGTGGCTGAGCATTCCTGTGGTAGACGTGAGAACTGTTTGTGCCTCAGTTTCCTATCTTTCCCTCTGCTGCTGGGCTGGCCTCCCGTCCTCCTCCTACCTCTCCTCCCTTTTCCCCTTCATCCCCTTCCTTCCTCTTTCTTTAACTCCCTCGCTCCCTCCCTTTTGTGGTACTGGGAACCAGGGGTATCGTGTGTAGGGCACAGAGCAGGCAGAACTGCTTCTGGCCTGAATAGCGGAAAAATGACCTGAGCCTGAGGAGTAGTCGAAATGGCCTCTATGTTGTCATCCCTACTTTAAATTCTCAGTCAGAAGCCCGCAAAGATAGTCACATTCCCCAGTTCATGCTAAGCATCTTGGTTTTTAGATGTAGGTTTTAAATGTAGGACTGGGTATGGAGGCTTATACTTTTTTTTTGTAGTTCTTTTTTTTAAAGATTATATTTTATGTATGAGTGTTCTATCTGCATGTATACCTGCATGCTAGAAGAGGACATCAGATTCCAGTAGAGATGGTTGTGAGCTACAATATGGTTGCTGGGAATTGAACTCAGGATGTCTGGAAGAGCAGATAGTGCTTTTATCCACTGAGTCATCACTCCAGGCCACTCATATGTGTTTTTGTCTTGTTTGTTTTATGGGGCATGATTCTTAACTTTGTGTAGCTTTGGCGGTCCTATATCAGGCCAATCTTGAACTCAGAGTCCTGCCTCTGCCTACTGAGCACTGGGATTAAAGGCATGTGCTACCACCACCCCAATTTATACTTGTAATCCTATTACTTGGGAGGCTGAGGCAGGAGGACTGCTGTAAGTTAAGGCTAGCCGGATCTACACAGTAAGTTACAGGCCAGCCTAGGCTACAGAGTGAAATCCTGTCTCCAAGACAGAACAGTCCTGTGCCAGGAATGAACTGCAGTTACACTTCTTTCTCCTTTGAATGCATGTGCTCTCCCTGTAGAGCAGGGAAGCCTTAGCTTGCTGTGACCCTCCTGCTTCAACTTCCCCAGTGCTGGAGTTAAGGCCTGTATACCAGGGTGAGAATGTCACAGTTTTGTTCTGAGAGAAAACCTGAAAATTTCTTTCCTGACCAGCTGGACTGCTAGAGTTTAAACACAAAGCTCTCTGGTGGTCTCCTCTGAATACCCAGAGGTCAATGCAAAAGCCTCACCTGGCTCTGCCACTGTACCTGAGCTCACCCACATTTGACTGTCGTCCCCTATTCTCTTCCCACATCTAATACTTCTATCTACCTGCACATTTTTCAATTTTCTTTCCAATCTGTCCAATTATCACTCATTCTTTAGGTCTTGTTGGGAAGCTCATCATTTCTGTGAACTGACAAATTTAATTTAGTAGTCATGTGTCTGTTCTGGAAGCCAGAGCTTTAGGGATCCTGAGATGCACCATGAAGGACAGAAGCTGACCTCAGGAAGCCCAGGCTGGAGAGGGGAGGAAGGGAATGCTGTGGCACCCTGTAGGCTCCAGATGCTGGAACCATCAGCAGCTCCAACCCTGTTAGGGCTGGAAGGGGTCTCCTCAGAGACTGACACCTGAGCCAGGGTCTGAAGCTGAGAAAGTGCCTTCTTCCTCCTAGAACCCTCTCTGCTTTGAATCATTTAAGCTTGGATCCCATAGAGCTGTCACCCTCTTCTTGCCTTGCACAGTGGCCTTCTCAGTTTGTGAGTCCTGCATTTAGCCAAAGCAAGGCCAAGAACTTAATCTCATTTAACCCTGGCCTGAGCACAGGGCCTACCAGATTTGTTTTGGCTCCTGGCTTCTGTCCAGAGTTGGCTTGCTCCATTGTTGTGGGCCTGTGGTGAGGAAGGCCATCATGACAGCGGTATAGTGAACACTTCACTTCATGATATCCAGGAAGAAGAGGGAGGGAAAGAGGGATGGAAAGACAGACTGCCCTCAGTGATCTGTTTTTTTCAAATAGTACCCACTTCCTAATAGCTCATTCAGGAGGAACTTATCAGTGGTGGTACCCATTGCTGTTTTTCTGTCATGATGCTCAGTGACACCACCTGGTGACCAGGTCTGTTAGAGGACACTGTATTCAAACATTTCCTTTCATAAAGCTTTGAGGCTCAAAATCTTGCTTTCAACATTCTGCCTAAAGTATAGTGTATATCAGTGGAAAGGCAGGCAAGGTAGGGAAGGAGACTGATAATGGGTACATAGATCTGAGTTCCACACCTACCTGATGTTCAGTCTAACTCTACCCTGCCAACAGTGATTCCTGGGCCTGATACAGAGTGGCAGTATGGGTCAGAGGACAACCCATTGCCTAGTGTGAGACCTCAAGGTCAATCCCTCACATCATTAAAGAAGAAAAAGAAAGCAAACCTAAACTTCACATTGCAGAGGATGAATGTAATTCATCCAAGAGCAAGAATGGCTGCTAGGTAATTGGATTTTCACTTTGGGCTTCAACACATTTGCTTTTGTTTTCTTTTTTTCTCTTTGTTTCTTGAGACAGGGTTTCCTTGTGTAGCCCTGGCTATCCTGGAACTTACTCTGTAGACCAGGCTGGCTCCAGCCTTCCAAGTGCTAGAATTGACTTAAAGGTTTGTGCCACCACCATGGGCTTCCCTCTCTGGCCCCGTAAAATACAGGGTCTCTCTATGCAGCCCTTGTTGTTCTGGTACTATGTAGACAAGGCTATCCTCAAACTTGGAGATCTGTCTACCTCTACCTCTGCTAGGATTAAGTTTTTAATTTCTTTGTTTTTTTTTTTTTTTTTTTTTTTTTTTTTTTTTTTTTTTTTTTTTTTTGTGTGTGTGTGTGTGTGTACATGAGAGTGGGGTGACACTCATGCCACAGAGCATGTGTGAAAGTCAGAAAACAGTTTTTGAAATTTAGTTTTCCCATGTGGGCCCCAGGGATCAAACTGATGTCCTCAGTTTGGAGTGCTAAAAGTAAAACTCGCTGAGCTGTCTCTATGGCCCCAGTAAAGTATTAAAATAAACATAATGGGCTTGGGGCATAGCTGGAGAGATGGCTTAGAATGTGCTTGCAATGAAAGCATGAGTACCAAAGCCTTGTCTTCAGCACCTACATAATAAGCTTGGCACAGTGATCTCAGCAGTGGAGAGGTAGAGTCGGGATCTCTGAACTGTGCTGGCCAGTGAGCCTAGTCAAATGATAAGCCACAAATCTGGTGAGAGAGACCCTGTATCCAAAAAAAAAAAAAAAAAAAGGTGGAATGTGGGGAGGCAGCTCAGCAGCAAAGCGTGCACACTGACCAGAGTTCAGTTTCCAGTACCCATGTTAGGTGGCTCACAATTACCTATAACTTTAGCTGCAAGAGATCCATTGTCCTTTTCTGGCCTCTGTGGGCACCTGCAGTCACACGCACATATCACCACACAGGGACACATGTAACACAATTCTAAATTATGGTGGAATGCCAAAGAAGACACCTGCTGTTGTCCTCTGGCTTTTATGTATACAGATAGACACACACACTGGAAAAACAGAAAAACTTTATTTTTAGAGGCTATGAAGTCTAGGCTGGCCTCAGATTTGTGGTGATCCTCCTGCCTTACTCTGGCAGGGTGCTGAGATTATAGGCATGGACTACCTCACAGGCAAATCAGTTCTTTGTAGACTCACAAATATATCCTCTGGCACATCTTGAGCTCCGCACTGGTCTCTGGATGCTAGAGAGACAGGCACATAGCAGTCACACTTCTACCAAAGTTGGCCTGTCTCCTGGCTAGTTCATCATAAGTAATTATTTTTAAATTTAAAGTCCTTTTGTTTCAACCTTTATCCCAGTTTCCCTTGAGAGAGATGTGGAGCAGCTATCAGTACTTTACAGTTGGAAGCCAACCCCAGAGAGCTCATGTGCTAATGGGTTGGTGGCTGGCCTTGAAATTGGGAGTATAACTTGGGGAGACTTCCATTGTTGATCATCTTTCCTGGGTTTGTACCCTTACAATGGCCTACCTACAGGATACTTCTCTCAATGCCTTGCAGGCACCTCTACATTCTTTTTTAAATATTTATGTTGTGTGCATGTTTTGCCTGCATATATGTGTGTACCACAGGCACGCCTGGTATCCTTGGCTATTTAAAGAGGGAGGGCTTCAGATGCCCTAGAACTGTAGTCCTAGACAGCTGCCATGTAGTTGCTGTGAACTGAATCTGGATTCTCTTCAAGAACAAATGTTCTTAACTGCTCAGCCACCTCTGAAGCTCCAACCTGCACATTCCGAAGAATGGCTCATCTTCTGGTAGATCCTGGCTCTTCTCTCAGCTTTGCAGGGCCACAAAGAGCAACCATATAACACTGTTACCCAATCACAAGTCTGCTTTTATCACAAATGACTGACAACCTAGCTAGCCTCCATGTTTCACACCTCATGCTTGCCCCTTCTCCAGTCACATAACTCTGTGACCTCACCTACTCCTAAACCTGTTCACTTCCTTCCAGCTTTGCAGCCTGATAGAAGTTTCTAGGGCAGTGGTTCCAAACCTGTGGGTCACAATCCCTTTTGGGGGGGGGTCAAACAACCCTTCATAAGACCATCAGAAAACAGACATCTCAATCACGATTCAGAACAGCAGTAAAATTACAGTTATGAAGTAGCAATAAAAGAAATTTTATGGTTGGGCATCACCACACCCTGAGGAACTGTATTAAAGGGTCATAGCACTAGGAGGGTTGAGAATCACTGTTCTAGTGGGGCTTAAGACTCATTGTGGATTTCACTGAAACCCTAATGCATTTCAAGAAAACGGACTTCAAAAATGCAGGACTGGTCTTGGGAGTGCAGCCCAGCACAAGGTGGTGGGTTCCAACCTCAGCACTAGGAAACCTAAGTATATTACAGCATTCTCCCACTTGAGAGCCCTCAGTGGCTCCTAGTTAATATGGCTATCCCAACTTTTTACTGGGGATTACAGGGTCCCATAGTTGCATTTCTCCGTGTTTGGCATTTTTGTGATAATTTTTTATGGATTACATTTATTGTGATTAGGCTACTTGGATTTTTCTCTTTATGTCTATCTGGTAAAGATATCTTCTAGGAAACAGTAATTTCAAATTTATTGGCACAGAGTTGCTCACAGTATTTTTTTTTTTTTCCAAGACAGGGTTTCTCTGTGTAGCCTTGGCTGTCCTGGAACTCACTCTGTAGACCAGGCTGTCCTGGAATTCAAAGATGTATCTGCCTCTGCCTCCCAGGTGCTGGGATTAAAGGCGTGTGCCGCCATCACCCAATCTTTCCCCCACCTCCCAATACTACTTTTTATGCTATTATTGGTAATTTTATGCATTTAAAAATTCCTAACATTGGACATGTAGCTCAGTTGGTAGAGTGCTTGCCTAGCATGCACGAAGCTATGGGTTCAGTCCCCAGCACTATTCACAACTGCCTATGGTGGCACATGCCTGTAACCCCAAGTTTATTTACACTTATGTTACTTTCTCTTCGTTACCATATGTGTTCAGGCACACATACTCCAGTGCATGTATGTGGAGGTCAAAAGATAATTTTGGGTGCCAGCCCTTACCTGCCATCTTGAGATAGGGTTCACTGCTGCATATGCTAAGAGAACTAGTCCCTGAGCTTTGCAGCATTCTTCTGTCTTTACCTTCCAGCCCACAGGAGAGGCTCAGCTGAAATTAGAGTCTCTTCTGTTACTGAGTTTGGAGGATCCAAACCTAAATTCATGCTGTCAGGCCTGTGTGGCAAGTGCTTATTTGCTAAGACATCTCCCTAGTCCTGTAACTCTCTCTCCATCTCCCTACAGCCTGTTGAGGCAGGTACTCAGCATATTGTCAGACTATCTTTTGCAAGTAAGAATCAAAGATTATAGTTATTTATCCATCCATCCATTTATTTAAGACAGGGTCTCTAAATAGCCCTGGCTGTCCTAAAACTTACTCTGTAGACAGGTTGGCCTTGAACTCACAGAAATCCTCCTGCTTCTGCCTCTGGATACAAGGCATGTGCCTCCTGAGTGCTGGGATTAAAGGTGTGTGCTACCACTGCCCCGCTAGAAATGACTTAATTTCCCTTTATGTCCTTTTTTTATGGTGCTAGGATCCAAACCCAGGACACCGTGCATACTGAGTTCATGTTGTCAGTGAGCTTCTCACTGCCTCCATAAATGGCACAACCATTATTATGTCCAGTTCTGAGCACTGGGTAATACTCGTGGTTGCACTCAGGGCCTCTGGCGTGCTGACACAAACTCTACCACTGAGCTATACCCTCAGTCTCAAATGTTCACCACGATTGTTCCTGACTTACTTTTTATGACCATTATCTTCATTTCCCCCCTTTGCTTGAGACAGTTTCACTATCTAGTGCAGGTTGGCTCTGATCTCAAAATGCCTATGCCACCCCCACCCCCCATTTCTGGGATTACAGACATGTGCTACCATACTTGCCACACTTGGCTATCATAATTAAAAAACACTCTCTAATCCATGCTAGCAATTCTGCACTCATTTCCAAGATGGACTTGGCTTTTGGACCTTTGCATGCTCAGCTTCTGCATGGCCCTCCTGCCTCTCTGTCTTTGGAGCGCCTACTCAACTCACAGGTCTATTTAATACAACAAACAGACTCCAAACACCTCAAATCCCACTTCTGCAGGCCTGCTGTGAACAAGCAGGTGGGGATCAGATGGCAGGCTGGTTCTCTATACTGAGGAACTCTCCCTGTTTTCCTCTCTAGGATGCATGCTCCTGGAAGACCTTGGTCAAAGCCTGGTCCACAGCAGCTGGCAGCTAGAACAGCATGAAGAACACACGTTTACTAATTTAACACTGGTACTCTAAAGCCAGAAGCCAGTACTTTAATATTATCCCCCTCTTTCAACTGCAGTTAGATCCTTTCTTCATAGTTCCTTCTGCCATGCTGCAAGCCACCCAGCATGACAGCTACTCTCTCTGAACTGAGCTGTTCTGCCAGCAGGTGGCGATGGAAGCCCACAGCTAAGCCAGCTTCAGTCTGACTTTCTGAGGCTTCTCATGGCCCCTGTGGGTTTGGTCTGTCTGTGTAAGCCTTGCAGAGGGTGCACAGCCACAGCAACAGGGTCACCGGCCCATAATGTCCCTTCTTCACTGTGTGGCAGCAGCTACTGTCCATGTCTCTCCTTTAGCTTCTAGAGTGTCATAGCTAGGTAGGGGGAAGCAACTGAAATTATTGAAAACAAAACAGAACCTATGGCACATTCTTAAGTTCCCTTTGCTTAGCAACAGTCTCTAGGATTCCTCCTCTTGTCTCCTTGGATCACACTGAACCTCAGGCTAAGAAAGCCCAGCTGTTCCCTGAAGAACTCTGCTTGTGGAGAGAAGTGAATGTCCCACCCAGGCCAAGGATGGACTTCTGGAGAAGGGGAACAGGGGAGAGAGCATGCATGGGTTCTGGGACAAATTTGGAACCACTTATACTGCGCTGATGCCTCAGGTTTAGAGCAGCCAGCAAGCCAAGCTTACACTTAGAGGCCAGGCAGAGTGGAGAAGACAGTGAGTCTAAGGAGCAGGAAGCAGCTGACTCAGTGAGAGGCAAGCGTTCTCAGAAGTGGAAGGGAGGAGGTCCTGGAGGAAGTGCTGGCTTTTGCCTTCCTGTGCAGGTATGGGCAGAGGTCCTAGCTCTTGCTGCCTAGTAAAACCTGGCTGTGTTCTGGGTTAGGGTGGAATGCCAAGCTGAGGCAGAACCCAGAGGTTCTGGAGAGCTGAAACAGAGGCTCATGGGAAGGAACTTAGGGTGCCTTTAGCTCAACTTGCCACTTAATAGCTGAGGGAACAGATGGGGAACAGATGACTAGCTCAGCAGCACACTGAGTGAGTGGCAGAGCTGAGTCCACCAGACACTGTTGCTATTGATCTGAAAATGCAGGTCCACCATGCTGGATGCTTATAGTCTATCCACAAGTAAATTTCTTGTCAGGGACCATGTACTATAATCCTCAAGAAAATTTCACTCCAACTGAGATGGGACATGGTCACCCTAATGTCCAAGCACCTTTACTTTTTGTCCCTGCCTCAAGTTACTTGTGATGAGAAAGTTGCAGCTTCTGGCTAGAAAAACATGGTCTATTGCTACAAACACAAAATGAAATGAGCCCAGAGAAAAGGCCTAAAAAGAAAGGACACAAGAGCCCTTGGGGATATTTACTGCAAACTGTTATAGTTAAAGTGATATTTTAGACATGGGGCAAATAGACTCTGAGCTGGGTCTGGGCTCCGTAGAGAGGGAAGGTGATACAAGGAGGTTAGGTGAGGCAGGGTCCCAGAGACATCTCAGGGCCTGAGAGCATAGAGAACCATGAAACAGCTACTTTGAATCTGGAATTCTGCTGGGAACACAAGGCTTCCTGGAGTCACCACGTCTAGATACGTCTTCTGGCCAGGCTTCCTGCCAGCTCAGGGTGACAGGGTCATCTTCATTATCATTCATCACAGATTTCCTTTTGTCTGCCAGAGTATTTTCAAACTTGCAGCTAAAAAAAAAAAAAAAAAAAAAGGAGGAGGAGGAAGAGCAGGTAATGTTCTCATTAATATAAATCCACATCGAGAAAGGCTGGAGGGTGAGATGCCTCTCAGGGCTGGCAGGTATTGGGAAGGGCCCATGCATTCATTCTTTCCCCACAGGGCACTTGTTAAAGGAGCTAAGGTCTCCACTTTTAAGACTTGTTCAAGGTTTTTCAGAACCTTTGAACTGACTGCAGACTCGGAGCCTAGCAAAAGGGTGTAGAGGGAAGCCAGATTAGCCCAGAAGTCACTCCCAGAAAAAGATGGGGGTCAGGGCTACTACTCCCAGAAGCAGCAGCAGCATGAAGGGCTATTCCAGGGGGTCCAGGGTGCTAAGGGCGTGGGAGGTGGGATACTATTTGGGCAGAGCAAAGTCCCAGGCAGTTTCTTGGGCACATTTCCACATAGCCTGCATGAGACGGGTGAAGCCCATGTCCTTGGGCTTCTCCAGGCCTCTCATCAGCCGCTGCTTCATGATGGAAACAAACTCTTTATTGCTCAGCTCCCCATTGCCTGGAGAATGAAGAAACAGAGGTGTAAGGAGAAACTCTGGGACAAAGCCACTGAGAAAATACCACTCCTCATACCCTCTCTGTAGACAAGCACATACTCAGCCAAGTTCAGCTCCCTTGGCTTAGGATGAGCTACTCTGCTCCTTCCTTGATGTTTCCAAATGCAGCCCACTGATACTCTAAGACTAGAGGACATGTCAGGTCCTATACTGGAAGAGCGATGCATGAACTTTTTGCATCAGTCCTTGAGATACTTCCAGGTTTCAGGAGAGACATGTGACATCAACTGTGAGGCAAGTACCATCATGAGGCAAGCAAAGGGTGCTGTGGCACAGTTGGGGAGCAGTGTGGCTGCTGGAACACTCCAAGGAGCAAGGTATTGGAGCAAGGTATTGGATGTGGGGACTCATGCTCCACCTGCTTCCCTATCTGGAAAGTATCCCTGCTGCCCTTCACCTGTCCATCCTGTTCATCCTTACCCTTGGCCCTGGAACCTTGACTGATCTGGGCTTATAGATCCCCCAAGCTGGATGGGACTCTATCTCTCCTTTCCTTTTAACTTTTAAAACTGTGCACATGAGTGCTTGCCTGCATATATACACATCACAGGCGTGCCTGATGTCTGAGGAGGTCAGAAGGGCATGGATCTCCTGGAACTGGAACTACAGATGGTTGGGATCTGCTGTAGGGGAGCTGGGAACTGAACCCTCCTCCATGCTGAGACTAGCCCCTTCTCTCTCTCTCTCTACTGCTTGATATAGGCCCTGGCAGCCCTCATGTTCTGTAAGGTCAGAGTTGTGCCATCTTCTTTCTAGAGATGTTAAAACTGTGCCTCTCATCTCCTAGCAGTAGATTGTGTATGCGTGTATATGGGGAGGGCTGCTAATATTTTTTTTTCCTTTATTTTCCAGAGATAATTACATTTCTTTGGGGATCATCAGAATTGCAATTTGGGAAAACACAGCTTCAAGCCATCTTACAACAGGAATCATCCTGTTGTCATTTTGAAACTCTTGTGGTCACTAATTTAAACCCACAGGCACGGTGGAATTACAGGAAATGAGAAAAACGTGCTGGGTATGGCAGTGCACTCCTTTAATGCCAGCACTCGGGAGAGAGGCAGAAGCAGATGGATCACTATGAGTCTGAGACCAGCCTGGTCTATATAGTGAGTTGTAGGATTACATAGTGACACCCTCCAACTCAACAAAACACAATTAAAACACACACACACACGCACACACACACAAATGGAAGTGGAAAACACAAACTGGGGCCCAGGGTGGTAACTCAAGTTTACAATCTTTTGAGGGCCAGGCTGCTGGTCAATGTCACCATATAAAACCGCCTCACTATAACCCCAGGTTGTGGTACAGCACTCCTGTAATCTCAGCACTCAGGAAGGCAGAGGCAGGTGGATCCCTGTGAGTTTGAGGCTAGCCTGGTCTACAAAGAGAGCCCAGGACAGCCAAAGCTACACAGAGAAAACCTGTCTTTAAAAAACCCAACCCAAACCTAAACAACCACCCCACTATAAATAGGGTCTAGAAATATAGGGAGGCCCACCGTTCCCTCTACGCTCCACAGGACCCCACTCACCGTCACAGTCAAAGAGTGCAAACACCACGTCACACACATGATCTGAGAGTTCTACTTTCGCTACCGTCCTGGCCACTTGCTGCATGGTCACTGAAAGAAGGAAATGCAGGGTCAGTGTTGCGACCTCCAGTCTCCTTTCTCTGAATGGGACATAAACCACTCAAAACTGTACAGGAAGTGGCACACTTCAGTGAGGGATAAGAATAAAAAACTCAAGGGCAGCAGGGGCCACATGGTGAGAAAAAAAGCTAAAATCAAAGTTCAGGGCCACAGTGGGGGGACTGAGACAGTCTCCAACAATCAAAAGGGGCCATGCATGCAGTCAGTGATAGAGCACCAGGCCTGCACCAGGTCAACAATGAAGGATTAAAAAAAAAAAAAAAAGGAAGAAAGAAAGAAAAAATTAGATTTTAATTTTTATCTATGATTCCCTCTCCTTATACCTCATGGTCTTTTCTATTTTTGTTTGTTTTTTATTTTTTTTGAGACAGGGTTTCTCTGTGTAGCCCTGTCTATCTTTCCTAGATTCACTTTTTTCCAGGCTGGCCTCAGAACTCAGAGATCCACCTGCCGGGATTAAAGGCATGTGCTGCCACCACCTGGTCTTCAGGGTCTGTTCTCTATTGCTGCTATACATTAAGAGGCATGAAGTAAATGAAGGACCCCTGACACTGAGTGGAGCATAATGGCACATAATCCCAGCCCTCAGGAGCTGAGGCAGAGGAAACAAGAATTCAAGGCTAATGAAGCTATGCAAGGACAGTCTCAAAAAATAAAAATAAAAAGGAATGTCTGGTATGAAATGCATAGAGACAGAAAGTAGATGACCTACCTATACAGTCTGGGGCATTAGAGTTTAATGGGCATAGATTTTTCTATTTACATGTGGAAGGCCAGAAGTCATTGCTCACCACCCTAATTTTTGAGTCAAGCCCTCTCTCTGAACCTGGAGCTCACTGACTAGGCCGGCCTCACTGCCAGTAAGCTTCTGGGATCCCGCTTCTATCCCCTATGCTAAAGTTACAGATGGGCACTGCTATGTCTTGTTTTTTATTTTTATTTTTTTCTAATTTTTTGAAACAGAGTCACTGTATAGCCCTGGCTGGTCGGAACTTGCTATGTAGACCAGGCTGACCTCAAACTCACAGATTTGCTTGCCTCCTGAGAACTGAGGTTAAAGATGTATGCCACCATGCCCCACGTATCCTACTTTTTATGGGATCAGAACTTAGGTTCCACGATCTGAACTCAGGCTTGTACAGCAGGCACTTTACCATCTTGCCAGCACCAGGCAACTTCATTAATACATTTCTACCAGAAGACTTCCTTCAAAACAAAACCAATAAAGCACTGCAGCAGGGTGATGAATATCAAGGAAGCAATCAGGTGGCGGGGGTGGGGTGGGGTGGGGCACTTGACAGAAGGCTTGAGTGCCTTAGTGGTGTCCCTGCTACAGTCTGAGCTCTGCAAGGTACAATCTGCTGCTTTAGCCACCTCCTTCCCCAGGATCTGCTCCAGCCACTTCTTTTACCTGTACTCCTGGAAAAGCAGGGCACCCTGTTTCACTAGACCGCCACACAGCTTTTATTTATTTTAATTTTTCTCTGGCCTCAATAGAAAAGCTCTCCTCTCTTGCCATTTTCTTCCCCTGACATTTAGTATGAAATACTAGCAATGATGTGGAATTGGTTTTCTGTGAAACACAAGCCTGGAAGAACTAGGCAACTTCCGCTGTCTTGTCTCTCATTTATCCTCACACCTGGCGTGAGGATATATTTATACTTATGCCTATAAATTATGTTACTGCCTACAGATCATCCCCAAAGTGAAGAAAAATGTACAGGAAGGAAAAGGAGCTAGGGAGATATCTCAGTGGTTAGAGCACTTAGTGCTCTTACAGAGGCCCCGGGGTTTGAGTCTCAGCACCCACATGATGGTTCACGACCATCATAACTCTAGTCCCAGGGGATCTGAAGTCCTCTTCTGACTTCCTCTGGCACCAGACACACACATGGCATACACACACATTTGCAGGTAAAGCATTCATATGCATAAAATAAATATAAGAGAGAAAGGAGTGAGTTCTGTTTATGGACTAGTTTGTGCAACTGTTAGCTTGGACGCCACAGAAGCGCGGTGGACCAGCAGTGGCATCAGTGTGCCTCTGCCAGTTCATTCTTTAACATCAGCTCCTCTTGCCAGTTTGTCTTGTCATTTGCTTCTGTGTGTCTTTTCTCACTTTGCATCTGTTGCCTCCATACATATAGTCAGCACACTGTCTCTGAGGCAGAACTGTGGAGCCCCTGGGACTCCAACCTGACAGCTGCTTGATGGCTTAAGTAACTGTTCTCATACTCAAATCAGGATGCCACACTGTGGCTGTTGAGGTTGCTTGGCACACCAAGGAGTTCATGGTGTTTATTTTAGAGTGTGAGGGTACTGATAAGGTGAAGTATCTGGAAATAGCTGAGGCTCTTGTATGGTTGTGTCTTAGTAATCAAAGCCTCTAGCTTGACTCGGACAAGGCTGCTGAGGAAGGTGGGAAGAGCCAGTTTCTCCTTGCAGTCTTTGCCACTGTTCAGATCCCTTCATTCCCAGCCTACAACTTATAGTAAAGGAGAGACCAATGGGTTTTGGAACAAAAAGATTTAGGCAGAATGAACTGTGGTAAGTTTTCATGTGCCATGTACTGAAGATGGACAAAGCTCGGGCACCAAGCTTGAGAAACTGAGTCTCACAGGAGGAAGTAACTGCTGCTAACTCCACTCTGTGGAGGACAAGGATGGCACAAGGAGAACAGGGACTGCCAGGGGAGCTCCAATGACAAAAGCTGCCCTTTACGCTTTGTAGGGGGGACAGGTCCTAAGCAGCTGACTTTGAGAGATCACTTGGACAGAACAGAATGAGTGGAGAGAAGTGGGTGTTTTCAAACACTGCTAACCTCTGCGCTTCCTCCCACTGCCATAGAGGAGTCCCGGGAAGGAACTGTGTGTGTGTGCTAGAGTGTACTTTCTGCTGACCATACCATTTTCTGCAGGTCACATCAATCTCATGTTTTAACTGCTCTAACAACTGCCTTCCTGTTCTCTCCTGAGACTCCCATTCTCTCAGGGTAGAATGCCTGGCCAATCTTCTTTCTATTCTCAGATTCATCTTTCTCCCTTTGCAGACAGCACTCTACTCCAATAAACCAATAAGCAATATCCAAGTGTGTCAGTGAGAGCTCTTGGCAATTTCCACTGAGAAGCTCATTAGGCTGGTATTAAGTGCTTGTAGAATAGGGATTCCTGGAGTCTGTAGTAAGAACATTCATTACAAATGCCACCCCTCACAGGACAGGGAGAGTGCCCTATTCCACCTGGAGGGGGCCCTGGTGGCCTGTGTACCACCAGGGCTGCTAAGTCACTGTGCCTCCTGGGATGGGAACAGTCTGGCTGGGGTAGCCTTTTCACAGCACAAGGTGTTTGGAGAGGCCCCCAGGGTATGAATAAGAACAGGACAGAACAGATCAACAAACTGCTGGGCTGTCAAGTCGGGAACTCTTGGGATGAGTGGAGTAACAGATTACAAACCAAGGGCTTGACAGATGCTCCCGAGAGTCCGCTCATTCACATGGTTTGCAACGTCTGAATCGCTAAGCTATAGTTAGACCACAGCGAAGAGAACTCCCCTAACCTACCCTCCCTGACCTCAACTTTTCTGTGCAGACCTGTTGTTGGTCCTGCAATTTTGACCTCCCCTATTTGCTGACTATTATGGTGCTGTGCAAGCAATACAACTGGCCTGCCCCCAGGGGACTTTGGGGTCCTGAAAACTCCTAGGTCACCACCTGCATCCTATGTCATCATCTGGGCCAGGGGCTCCAGATATAACCCATCTGCCACTCCCACCTATTCTCTCTCTCTGTCTCAGTTTCTCTCCCCTTCTCTGTTCTCTCTTTCTCAGCCCTCCCCCTGCACCATGTTCTTTCTCTTTTCCTACGCTCTCCCACTGTCTCTGTCTCTTTCTGACACTTTCTCATGGCCCACTCAGGCCCTAACTCTTCTCCCTTTTCCTTCCCCCAAATAAATCTCTTCTTATTAGATCTGCTGAGTGTGTGGCTTTTTTTTTTTTTTTTTTTTTTATAAATCCTAACAGTGACTGTGATTCTGAAACACATACTTGGTCTTTTGAGATGGCACAGAGGATGGTGCTATGCTGCTGGCCCTTCTTCTCTGTTCTTACTCTCTTGATGCAAAGTCTCTCACTGAGCCTGGAGCTTGGCTAGTAGACAGCAAACCCCAGCAACCCTGTCTCTGGCCTCACAGTCCTAGGGCTGCAGGCATATACCCGGCCATGCCCAACCAAATTAAAATTAAAATCCTTGTGCTTGCACAGCAGGTGACATTACTCACTGGCCATCTCCGCAGCTTCTTATGTCTCTCTTGATGGATTTGTCACAGATGAGACAATAATACAGTCTTTCAAGTTTTTTTTTTTTTTCCACATAAAAGTCCTACTATCCTTGCAATTGCCAAGGAGGCGTATCTTTCTGTGTTAGTGCAATGACTGGTGCCAATAGCACAGGTAGTTTCCAGATGGACTATGATCACAGGAAAAGCCAAGTCTTGTCGGGATTTTCTAGCTCTTTCCTCTAACCCATTGAGTTGGTTACAAATGACCAATGAGTCACTCAGTCATGGCTGTGTAATGAAGCACCCTAAGATCTTCAGAGCACAAGGCTTGGAGCGCTTCCAGACTGCTGGCACCTGGAGGTTCTGGTGATGGTGTGCCTTGGAAGGGTACAGAACTTCTGTGTTCCTTCCCAATTTCTCCCCATGCATCTGTAGCCTTTGAAATAAACCAATAAACCCAAATGCTTGCCTGAGTCCTTCTCTCACAAATCAACTGAGTCCAGTCACATTAGGGGCTGGCTGAGCAGAATCACAGATAAGACAACCTGGAGCTGTGACTAGAGTCTGAGGGCCAGTGTCAGTCTTAGAGGATGGACACCTCAACCAGTGGGACCTGACACTAGCTCCAGGGAGACACATCAAAATGAAGGAGAAAGATCAGACTGGGTGTCCAGGTAGAACTGATTGCTTACATGC